ATGACGGGGTTTCAGTTATTATGTTACCTGGTAAATAAAATAGTTATTATGATTGGATATAATTTTACACCTGTATTTGATATTTGATCAACAGAACCCAAATAACAGCTGTATTAAAAATATGTTCAGTTTACATTTAACAGAGATTAAGAAGAGGTAAATCCACGGGTATTTAATTTGTCACGGGCAACACAGTACAGGATCAGCTAATTCATAAATATTATTTGCTTATATTTTCAAATTACCTGTCAACCATGTTCTTCTATAATACTCCAGGAATTTATGTATGTTTTCATTTTCGTTTTGTCCAATATAGTTTTGAATTTCCGTACGGTACATCCTTCTTATTTCATCAAAACCTTCATCCAGCTTTTGGTTTGGCAATAACGCAATTGCCATTACCATTCTAAATAAGTCATGTACTTTCCTATTTTCTCTGTATAAATTTGTTAGTCCTAGAAATTATTTCCAACAACTTATAAATCATTTTGTATTTTTGTGCTTAAATAAAAAATATTTAATAAATTACAATAATATTATTATTTTATCTATTCAATTTTTTAATCTGTTATACATAGGTATTCTAAAATTTTACCTAGTTCTTGAATTTTTCGCCATACACTCTGTGATGAGTGAAACCAACACCCTACTACTCTGGCTGTTGGAAAAACTGTATGTATGGCATTGATAGCAGCGCGTTCAAAGTCTGTCATAACAGTTGTCGGTTGCCAAGTAGGTTCAATAATCGTCTTGATGTATAAAAAAAAGAGCTTTATATGCTTGTTCAGTTTTCCTGGACATCAGTGCATACACTAAAGGAAAACCCTAAATATATATAAATATATATATATATATATATTGTATAAGTAGTAACTTTATTGGTTGTTTAAGGTTTTATACAAAAAATGGAATTTAATAGTTATTAAAATAAATGCGTTTCATCTAGAATCCCATTTTACTGGTTTACAGTAGCTGTGTTGCATTGTGTGAAAACAAGCTAACAGTAGGTACCAGTGGTGTAGTCAGGAATTTTGTAGAGGAGCTAAGTAGTAAGTATACAAATACAATATGTCTTTTATTTACACTTTTTATTTTTGTATTAATCTTAATCAATTTATAAGGTCAACACGGTCAAAGGGGGACTATAGCCCCCTTAGCCACCCCCCTGGCTACGCCACTGGTAGGTACAATACAACTCTATATCTCAGGCATTACATTACAGATAATCTTTGGTATTTAAATACAATTGTTTTATTTTGCTGGTTTTATAATATCCCCTACAAGATTATGTTAATCAGATTGTAATTTCAAAAACTTGAATTCTCAAAAGGAAATTCTCATTATAAAATGTAATATTATATAAAAGCCAATAGGGTTATACATAAACTAGTTTAATTATGCCATGTATTTTCAAATTACTAACCAAAATATTATATAAATATTAATATTTAATCATTTATTTAAAAATATATAATGCACCTACCTTTTTATTTAAATAATGTATTTTATATTTTATATTTTTAGATACATTTTTACTTTAGATAGTAAAATAATGATTTAATGTAAATTTATTTTTTTTCTTTAGAAAACTGTTTTAAGTAACTTATATTTATTATGCAACTGAAATATATGGCTTGTATCTTGTCTTAAGAAATAATTTTAAAAGTATTTTGTATTAAGATATAATTTTAAAAGTTATAAGTTATAACTTGAATCTAGTGCATACTTATGATATATAGCTGGGGTGGCCAAAACAAGGCTCGCGAGCCACATATGGCTCTTGAGTCAGTTTTATGCGGCCCTAAGAGATTTCTATAAATAAATAAACGTTTGTGTATGTAATATTATAATATAATATTATTTAATATTTAATATTTAATGTACCTTCATTTGTCATAAAATGAAAAATGTGTCTTCATTTTATTAACACCTCTTAACAATGTGACTCCCTTCAAATTAGCTTCATAAATTTGTGGTTCCCAAAATTAAGATTAGTGTGGCCACCCGCCCGCCCCTGATAGGTACTTAATTTAGTGGTTGTAAATAATTGAGAAAATATATATTAATTTTATAATTTTGAGATTAATGATTTAAGTAAAATGTATTCAATTACTTTTTAAAAACCTTATTACCATCCAATTTGAATGAATTCTACAATGATTTAAATTTGATAATAATATACTAAAAAATATTTAAGTAACAAATACTAATTTGACTACAAAGCAATTTTAGTAAATGTTTTTCAGTGTGTTTGTTATGTAGATGAAAATTACAAAATATTGTTATGGTGAAAAGTTACTAATGGACGGAAAATAAACTCAATCAAAATATAAATTTTAACAGCAATTAACAGCTGAAATGTAGTGTAATAAGTTAAAAGACCTAATATTTATAAAAACCAAGTGGTCGTAAGAGTTATTACTTATTACTTAGCAAGGCCGTATATGAGGGGTGTCCAGGGGGTATGGACCCCCCACCCCCGAAATTTCTTCTTATTTTTAACCAAATATCAAAACCTAAATTCAATCAAATTAAAATAAATATGTTTTAAACAATCCCCCCCCCCGAAAAATTTCTGGATACTGCCTTGTTATTTAGGTTACTATTGATGGTCACATATATACTATATTAGATAATTATTACTTATTAGTAAGAGACAAGAGTGTAAGACTAATATTAAAGTAATACTTATTTAGTAATTGTTAGGTACCTATATTGGGTACGGAAGCGTAGGAGTTCCATCCAAATTATAGAATATGTTTTTCATATTTTTTTCAAATTATTTTTCATATTTTTAACTGATATAATTTCTGTTAAGTTTTACAAATGCTACAAACGTTTTTCCGACTTATTGGTGTTTTTATGCTGGATTTTATATTTATTGAAGTTAACCTGTTTACTCGTGTCTTATTTCAACACCTAATGGTTTTAGTACCTACTAAACTAAATAATAGACACAATCAAACTATTACTATGTACCTATATGGGCTATATCTATGTTATGATGTGTAACGATTTACAAAAGAAGGTGTGTTGCAGATGTAAAAATTAATTTACTTCGAATTACAATAATATCAATTATAATGTGTAATTAGGTACCTATATACTAAAAATAGCTATGCTAAGATAGCTGAGATACTTATCATAATAAAGATAATAGTGTAATACCGTCACAGATTGATGAAGAAGATGTAAAAAAATATATAAAGAATTGTACGTCATGTCAGGTTAATAAGGTATCAAATCGGCACATAAAACAACCAATGGCTATTACATCCACTTCGTCTAAACCATTCGAAAAAATATTTATGGATACAGTAGGGCCTTTGCCGATTACATTGTCCAATTATGTATACATTTTAACGATGAAGGACGATTTGACACGTTACACTTTAGGAATTCCACTTCCTGACCAGAAGGCAAATACTGTTGCGGAAGCCTTTTTTACGCACTTCGTTTATGTACACGGCATACCAGAAACAATACTCACGGATCAAGGAACTAATTTCCTCTCGAAAACGTTTGCAAATGTTTGTAAAATATTGAAGATAGAAAAGGTTAACACAAGTCCATTCAGACCGCAGGGTAACCCCGTAGAACGCGCTCATAGGACTTTAGCCGAGTACTTACGGCATTATGTAGATAAGAATTTAAATAATTGGGATCATTTACTACCCTTTGCATTCTTTGTATATAATTCAACGGTACATACTTCTACTAATTTTCAACCATACGCATTAGTTTATAGATGTACATTGGAGGTACCGATTAACTCGAAGGCCAAACCTGAACCACGTTACAATTACGACGATTATATATTCGATCTAAAAAAAATATGCAAATATCACATAAAATATCTAGAGATCAATTAATTAAAAATATGTATAAATATAATAAATAATAATAACATAAATTAGATTATGATAGGTACTTCTAGGAAAATATATATATAAATAGTTTAGTTTTAATATAATTATAATTTATACTTTTAGATTGGTGATGGTGACGTGTTTTCTAGTCAATACTATCGAATCTGACGAAATAAATGCATCAGAGTACTTTTCGTATACGCCTTATGGAGTTGGCAGGGGTATACAATATGAAGGTTTGGGGCCAGTTAGATTAATAGGGGCTCAATACAGTCTTGTAACGTTTTTCTCATTAAAAGAATATAACACGAAATATGAACTATTGGGGGAAAAAATAAAAAATATAACAAATTTATGTACTGACCAGAAATACCAAGATTTATGTGGAAAATATCAAATAGTAATTACAGACTTATATAACGAAAATACTGAATTACAAAAAAAAGAAATGCATGGGGCACTTATGATAACTCCTACGTAAGGGCACTCTACAACTGAATATTTAGATAAACTTTATGATAAATATTTTAAAGATTATTGATCACACTTCCAATTTTGTAAGAGATATTCCTGACTCATAAGAGCCACGGTTTTATTAATTGACTAATGTATAGTGTAATTCGAAACAAAGGTTGTAGCATTAGTAATTTTCCTAAGAGCAATATTCTGAAATTATTGAATTTTGTTGTTATTGGACACTTTTATGAAAATAGATAACTTATATACTTATGATAAGTCATACGTAAAGTCACTCTACAACTGAATTTTTATATAAACTTTATGATAAATATTTTAAAGATTATTGATCACACTCACAATTTTGTAAGAGATATTCCTGACTCATAAGAGCCCCATACATTTCTTTTTTTTGTAATTCAGAATTTTTAAAAATTGTTCAACAAATACATTTTATAAACACTTTTAGTAATATCTTGTTAACCTTGAAGTTTCATTAAGAAATTGTTTTAAAAGTAAGTTTATTTTCAACTTTTTCGTTCATTTATTAAGTAGTATTAAGAAAAGCATGTTTTTAAAAATTATTATTTTTTTTTTTTTTTGAAAGCATAATATTTATTATTTTCGGTAGGTACATTTGAATATTATAAGCAACTATGTAATATTATATTTTAATTATCTCAGTTCCTGCATTCTTTCCATTTCTTCGAGGGCGTCAATATTACATTGTGTTCTTCTCATCAGCTTTGAACAGTCTAATTGTTCAATTCTGAGGCCTTGCAAGGATTTCACTCTGCTAAGAGTAACGTAAGCTTGTCCTTTTGCAAAGAGCCTTGGTCCTAGATAAACAACAGCATGATCGACGGCGGAGCCCTGTAACTTGTGTGCGGTTACTGCCCATGACAAAATTACTGGCAACATTCTACGCTCAGCAGTACCATAACTGCGCATCGCAGGAAACTGAATAGATATGGGCTCTATTTTATTGATACCATCTCTTCCAAAGTCGACGCGAATTGATTTTGGTATACATTCATCATAAAGTTGATCTCTAGCAAAATTATTGAACGTCTTTGTATAGTGGATTATTTTTTATTAGCCAATCTAAAGCTTTAAACACTTTTTCGCGATTTATTGACCATTGTCTAGTAATGTTTAGATTTTCCAGACGTTCAGTAACTACAATAATACCCGCTTCATGGGTTGACCTTGGCAGCATTTTCGGTAATTTTTCACTGAATTCAAAAATGTCTAGTGCAAAAAGAACTGCCTGGCCTTTGAAACCCCACTGTCCATATAAGCCATCATACTTAATAATTTTTACAAATGGTATTATTCTCGACAGTAATCGTTTTTCTGCCTGTGAAAGAAGGTGGATTTCATTTGGTATAACGCCAGGATCAAGTTTATTCCAAAATGCTTTTGGAGGTGCAGTAGTTTTTCGACTAGACAGATGAGTTTTGCAGCGATGACAAAGTAATAGTTGTTTTTTTTTGAGTAATTCAATTGGCAAATAATTAGGTTTATAATTAGAAAATTTTAATATTGAAACCTGGTTAGGGTAGCATCGTTTTGTACAAACTTCACAAAATTGATCACAAAATGTGTTAATTGCTTTTTCAAACTATATTTCGCTTGCTGAACGTTCCAGCCGCTGTCTGCGTATATTTTCCAGATGGGCTTCTCGAGCTTGGGGAGTCTGTGCTGCACAACGTTGTAGATACCGTTCATGGTCCGCTTGCTTCCGGGATTCTCTGCTTTCTGGATTTTCTGCAGCGGCGCGTTGTAAATATCGTTCATGTTCCGCTTGCCTCCGGGCTTCTCCGCTTTCTGGAGTTTCTTTGTCCCGTTGTTTAATCCTGTTTTCGCGTTGTTGTAAAAGGCGTTTATTTTTCATTGATGGCGTTTCTTCAGCTCTTAATTTTTTTTGGGCTTGGCGATTTTTATATAATCTTGCCCGTTTAGCTTCTGAGCCCTCTTTAGCCTTCTTTTCTTGATACTATATACGAGCTCGTTCAAGGCGCCTTTTTCGTTGAGTTGCGGGCTCTTTATACATTATTATTTGTTTACTATTTTATTATCTATACGCTTTGTCAATCTCTATGTAAGATTTTCTTACTGTTTTAACAATGAAACGCGTTAAAAGTTAAAAGTAATTATTATTATAATAGTTTTATAACCCATGGAAACCGTTTATAAACAAAATTTCGTACCTGTATATTATTTATTCTTCTTCCTCGGAGATGACTTTGCACACTCGTCATCGCCGACCTGGAGGTCCGGGTCCCAAAATGACAACGGATTATTGTATTGCCTTCCAAGACCTACGTCTATACAAATTTTCATAATTTTTCATCGTAAATAAGTGCCTCAAATCGAGCGCGCAAGATTTTATGACAACAGGAATGAAACATTGTGAGTTAAAGAAAAGCATGTAATAATAATAAAAAAGCATGGATGTTTGACGGGTTTAGCCCCCAACTATTACCAATTGCCCCCCCCCCATTGCTGCGACAGCGTCACCCCTTCAGATATTCAGATATGGTAAGTGTTAAATGAAAATTATGTCTTAGACTCAATATAATATAATATAAAATATAAACAATAATTTTTTATTTAGACTCAAGATAATGGTTTCTTTACCGAACAACAGTCGCAGAGTACGTTATCTCAAGTTAGACGACCTGCAACTCCTTCTCTACCTACAACACCGGGGGTATACGCGTTGAACCTGATAGAAAACATGGAATTTTCGCCTTCACCGCTACGACAAACACAGATGGACGAATGGCTTCGTTCGTTTTCACCAATGCACTCTTCACCAGATATATTGCCGCTGGATGTTGTAGGCGGCGTGGTATTTGCACCTTCATCGCGACGACAATCTGAGATAAATGAATGGCACCGATCTTTGTCACCCATCGCCCCAAGTGTGCTAAACATTATAGTACGGCCTCAGGTACTCCCGAAATTTGACGTACTAATTTTCGGGAGGATATTAAATACCACTCAACCCAGTCAAAATGTAACTGATTGGGCTGATGATGGCTATAATGATATCCTGGAACTTCACATGTTAGCACTTGAAGCAGTATGGAACGATGACGTTGGTGACGAAGTTTTGAATCAGCATATAGATACTAACGAAGGTAAATTACAGAAAAACTTATTTTTTAAATATAATTTATCCCCTGTTTTATATAATATTATTATTAACAATAAACCTAATATTATTATTTTATATTTTGTTTTTAAGACGAGGAATTGAATCGACATTCGACATATGGACGAATACGAGGGTAAATTACGAAAAAACTATTTTTGTTTTATATAATAATAATTTTTTTCTCTAATCCCACATATACTTATTGTGTATAATATGTTTAGATTGAATATTTCTTATAAAAAAAAATATTTTTACTTTATATAATATTATAATTGTATATTTCTTATAAAAAAAAATATTTTTACTTTATATAATATTATAATTGTATATTTCTTGTAAAAAAATATTTTTACTTTATATAATACTAGCTCTAAGTGAAACTCGGGGCCCGTTGGACTCGCTGGGAGTGGGTACCGATTTTGGAGACAATGAATTATAAAAGCCGCTAAGGTTGTAAGACGAAAGTTTAGGATTTAGATAAGGATAAGTGATATGGATTGGAGATAAGGCTAGACGCTTGGGCGGGAATGTTAAAAGTTTGAGCGTCTAGCAATCCGTCACAAACGTTGTAAATGGATAGGCTGGATAGGTTCACCTATATAGAGTATACCTGCACATAGAGTGGTATGTGCCTTCGCATGACCGGTGCTTTATCTTATGTAAAAAGTGTAAAGTCGAAAACCGTGTTGGAGTTTCTAGCAAGTCAGCCATCTCAAGTCAAAATCTATTAACTTTCAAGTTGGTAAACGGAAAACTGGTACTGTCTGTATAAACGCGGAATACTGGTACGGTTCACAATAGTAAAGGTTTCCCAAACTTTTACGAAAAAAAAAAGAATAAAATAGTTTTAATTTTATTTTACCGACGATCGATGGGAAAACACGACTCACGAGTGCGAGTGAAAATAATGCGACAACGATAAGATACGATAAATATCTATTAATCAATAAATGTCATGAACTGTAATATTATACAGAAAGTTCTCATCAGTACAATATCATTGGCAATAGTGGATTGAGTGTGTTATTACTTCAATAAAAATTATACCTAATATGGACATTTATGCCAATCTACATGGCGAAAAGCTCAACAATTAGGTATATGTTCCTTATACAGAAATAACATAGATTTTAGAATAAGTTACGGTATGATTAACGATTTAGTGTTTTTACCCTTTAGTGAAGTAATAGATGGAATGGTTTATTTATATACAACGACACCTGTAGAATTGTTACCGTTACTAAAATATTTTGAAGAAAATTATGTTAGTGGGAAGTCTGGGAGCCCAATATTTTCTCCAAACTTCTGGAATATACTTTGCAAGACAAACTATACAACAAATGTGAGAACTTCTTAAATAAAAAAATTCAATTGGAACAATTTTTAAATAATATAGCAAAGTATACGAAACAATCATTATTAATCATAAATATTATATTATATTATATTTATTGTACCTATGTTTTATATTTATTTTACCTGCTTGCTACTTTGTATGTACTTATTGGTGTTTTTTGGTAATTTTGATTGTTAACATATTTTTTTTTGTTTTAAGTATTATTTAAATTCAACTTGTTGATGATGGTGATTTATGAAAATTATATTATAAACATTGTAAATATTTTAGGACCCCTGAAAATTAAATTTTGAATAGTACCTGTTTTCCGCGTTTTTTATTCCTTTTGTTATAAACAGTATGGACTGTACCAGTATTCCGAGCACCTTCAAGTTAGCCACTTAGGTAGGCAATCCGACTTCGTCGGATCGCGGACAATGTGCTACAGCAAATCAGGTTGGCAATCCACCTGCAGACCCGACATCAAGCGGCTATAAGTGAAAACCCTATCACACAACTTACGAAATAATTTACGAAAAATTCAAACTATATACAATATACATACAAACAAATATGATATGTATATAATGTGTGATAGAATATAACAATGAACATTTTGAGAAATGTGCAATTATAATTCTTAAAAAAAATTAACATATAGGTAGATAGATAGATACATGCTATTATATTAACCAATACAATACATATAAACATGTAACTATAGTGTATAATATATATTAATTTAAAAAAAAAATGGAAAAACCTGCATGTTAAAGTGTCTATCAAGTCAATCATCACCATTTAAGACGAAACCAAAATGAGCAATCCGTCTATCACCTATATATAGTAGGTATATCACATAGAGTGGTATGTGTGATGTGCATGTCCGGTGCCTTTTCTTATGTAAAAAGTGTTAAGTCGAAAACCGTGTTGGAGTGTCTAGCAAGTCAGTCATCTCAAGTCAAAATCAAGATTAACTTTCAAGTTAGCCACCTAGGTAGGCAATCCGAAATAAAATACAAACTATTTATATAACAATCATGGACATTTTAAAAAACAAATATAATATGTACCTATTTATTGTGTGATATAATATGACAATGACTTTAAATAATAATAATGTACGATATGTTCCTGTATTATTATATTATTATTTAATTTATATGAAAAATAACGTGAAAAAAAAATGCAAAAAAAGTCGGGATTTGGGCGGCCGTGTAAACCTTATGGCAATGACGGTTACGACGCCCGGACAGCGTACGACAGATTCGAACCCGGGACCTACGTGTTTCCTACCTAACGCCTAACCTACTTGGACACAATTTAAGATACGAAAAACGGTCAAAACATCAATACTTAAGCCGTGCATCTACGGAGCGACGTAAACCTATATATTCGATGATTATCGATGTAATCGCATATAATTCGCTTGTAATACGCACATCTTCCATACATATATTTAACGGGGAGTGTGAAAAGCTTTTTCCGTTAATTATTAAATCATAGGGAAAAATTAAATTATACACGTACGGTCGGTCGGTCGCTTCTAAACGCGACTGCGAGGCGAACGAACCGATTTCGGGGGAAAAGCGCATATAAACGGCTTTATAAAGACGTCGAATACACGATTCGGGCACAAACGGCGTGCGAATAGACGAAACGGTGGGAGAAAAGGAAAAAATCGGCAAAAAAGTCCGGTCGGGAGTGTATTTTTCGATCGACATTGCGACCGCTTCGGACGGCGCACGAATATGAACCGCACACCGGCGGCTTCGAATTAAGTATAAAAAAGGGCGTAAAGGGTCGAAATCGTGTAAAAACAGCTAATTTTTCGAAAATTTCAAAAATCGGCGAAATGATAGGAAAAGAGGTGATTACGAAAAACGTTTTAAAACCGACCGCCGCCGCTGCGAAGGTACGCGATTGGTCGCGCTATAAGGAATCGATGGGACTCGCCGGCGGGTTGGGGAAACGGAGAGGTGCTTCATTTTTTACGCCACGGTTTCACTATAGCCTGCGTTTTCCGTTCCACGGGTTGCTTGTAGACAGCTGTTCTCGGAATCAGCTGTTCTTCATTTTATAGTATTAGATTATGATTGTATATTTCTTGTAAAAAAATATTTTTACTTTATATAATATTATGATTGTATATTTCTTGTAAAAAAAAATTTTTTACTTTATATAATATTATGATTGTATATTTCTTGTAAAAAAATATTTTTACTTTATATAATATTATGATTGTATATTTCTTGTAAAATGTAATATTATTATGGTTAAACCCATGCTCACAAGCGTGAAGCCAAAAGGCCTTCTAGATTTGCTACATAGCTAGGTGAGGTACGTAGGCGAGGTACGTATATTTGTTGTGCGCTGCGTTAATAAAATACGACGGCTACGTAGATTTCGGATTACCCGACGAGTGCATGCGCGTGCGTAAATACAATTTTGTTTTTATATATAATTTGTTCAAAGTACGCGAGATTTGTGTTAACTGGTGTAAGATATCGTCATGAGTGTATGTGGTATGGCAGCTCAGTGGTAAAGCAATCGTCTGGATAGCGATGGTCTCGGGTTCGACCCCCAGTCTAGCGAATTGATTTTTGTCGTTTTTTTTTAAAGGTAAAAATATAAGTCGCGCACGTACGCGAAGTGCGGGGGTGGTACATGTCGGCAGGGAAAAGGGTGGCGGGGAAAATACATGTCGCACACGTGGACGAGGTGCCGCCGGTGGTCAGCAGGGTCCGCAGGGAGTCTGCAGGGTTTGCGGTCTGAACTCTCTTTTTTATCCTACTCCGGTATGACGCGTAAAGTATACGCTCGCGTGGTTTTTGATTTTTCCGGCAGTGTTCGGGAGGGAGACGAAGAACTTAACATAGATATTCGGAAAGCCAGGAAAATTTACTATCCGACGAGATAAATGTCAAGAGCTCAAGGGCTTTTGAGGTAACCGTACTTAGTGCACGAAAGCGGCAGATGACTAATGCCGGTATGACGCGTAAAGTATACGCACGCGTGGTTTTTGATTTTTCCGGCAGTGTTCCGGAAGAATTCGACGGACCTAAGATAGATATTCGGAAAGCCAGGAAAATTTACTATCCGACGAGATAAATTTAAAGAGCTCTCGGGCTCTTTAAATAATCGAACTTAGTGCACGAAAGCGGCAGGTGACTAATGCCGGTATGACGCGTAAAGTATACGCGCGAGTGGTTTTTGTTTTTTCAGGCAGTGTTCCGGAAGGAGTCGAAGGACTTAACATAGACATTCGGAAAGCCAGGAAAAATTACTATCCGATGTTGTATAATAATTAGACGAGAGAACCTTAGTAAAGTAGGCTTTAATAAACATAATTATTAGTGTACACATGTTATAATATATGGAAGTACAGAGCTACAGTATATTAGATAAGAGTATATATGATTAACTTTATAGGTTAGTTTTAGTAAGACTATTATCTTATCACATTCTCCCCTACAAATAATAATTAACTATTAGGTAACAAATAACAATAAAATAAATAATTACAAATACAAATAAATAATTAATTAATTAGTTTTATAATCTTCTAAATACTTTGGTTTATTTTTGGTTCTAGTAGACCTTCTAGGTTCTTCAACATCACTTAATGTCTTGCTTAGCTCTTCATTCATCTGGGTAGGTTCTTCAATAACAATATCTTTATTCTCTTGACCACAATGGTATGCAGGAGCTTCCAAGCTTGATGGTTTAATACTATGTTCTCTGTCTCTCTTTTCTCCCAACAGACCTCTATCCCCTGGAGGTGCCAGGTCTTTCAGAGACACTGTAGATTCACGTCCATTGTTATAACGCACCAAAGCATACTCGGGATTAGCCTCTATCAATTCAGCTTCTTCCACCAGTGGATCGTACTTTGATGATTTTACATGTTTTCTGATGGGTACTGGACCAGGGCAGTTAAGCCATGAAGGGAGAGTTTTCCCATTTGAAGAACGGCGAGGATAATGGAAGAAGCGTTCATGTGGGGTACAGTTTATAGCTGTACAAAGCAGAGATCTTATAGAATGTAGGGCATCTCTTAGCACTTCTTCCCGCTGAGTTATTTTAAGTCTTTGTGTTTGCTGGGCCAATTGGACGGCTTTCCAAATAATCCCATTATATCGTTCTGCTTGTCCGTTTCCCTCCGGATTGTAAGGTGTCGTACGACTGGTGGCTATTCCATGGTTGTGCAAAAAAGTTGTGAGTTCTTGTGACATAAAAGATGATCCGCGATCAGAATGAATGTAAGCCGGCATACCAAATATGGAGAATAACTGCCACAAACTATTTATCACAGTAGTTGAACTAATGTCCCGGCATGGAACTGCAAATGGGAAGCGAGAATATTCATCTACTATTGTAAGGATATAATGATTGCTTGTATTAGAGGGTAGTGGGCCTTTAAAATCTATATTCAACAGTTCAAAAGGCGAAGTAGATTTGATAAGATGGTTTCCCTCCTGTTTAAAGCATTTGGGTTTAACTTCAGCGCATATAGGACAAGTTGTGGTTACCCTTTTAATATCATCAAGAGTAAATGGTAGATTCTTACTTCTAGTCCAATGGTACATTCTAGTCATACCAGGGTGACATAATGCTTTGTGAAGGTCAAAAAGCTTACTTGGATTATTAATGTTTGCACAGACTCTTGAGAAAGCATCCGCTACCGTATTTTCCTTACCAGGGCGGTATACTATGTCGTAACTGAAAGATGAGAGCTCAAGTCGCCATCTTGTTATTTGTCACTTTTTATCTTGCTGGAATGTTTTAGATTGAACATAAACGAGACCGCTTCCTGATCTGTTATTAGCTTGAAATGTCTTTAAATAAGAAAGTGCCTCTACGATTGCATATGCTTCCTTTTCTACAGATGGGTGTCTTTTTTCACCTTCAGTGAGACTCCTTGAGAAAATAATTTTTTTAAATAATCATACTTAGTGCACGAAAGCGCCAGGTGACTAATGCCGGTATGACGCGTGAAGTATACGCGCGCGTGGTTTTTGTTTTTTCCGGCAGTGTTCCGGAAGGAGACGAAGGACTTAACATAGATATTCGGAAAGCCAGGAAAATTTTCTATGTGACGAGATAAATTTCAAGAGCTCCCGGGGTTTCTAAGTAACCGTACTTAGTAAACGAAAGCGCCAGGTGACGAATGCCGGAATGACGCGAAACGTATACGCGCGCGCGGTTTTTGATTTTTCCGGCAGTGTTCCGGAAGGAGTCGAAAGATAATATTTATGGTTTACCTTTAGTTAACAAAAAAGTTTTAGGCAAGTTTAAAGATGAGTCAAAATGGAAAAATAATGACTGAATTTATAGGTTTAAGATCTAAATAATATTCACATCGAGTCTTAGATACTGAAAAAGAAATTAAAAAAGCTAAAGGTGTTAAAATGTTGTAAAAAATAAATTATGTTTTAATGATTTTGAAAATTGTTTATTAACAAAAAAATCAAAATCTGTTAAACAAAATTTATTTAGAACTAAGAAACATGATATTTTTACTGTAGAACAAAACAAAAAAGCTTTAAGTGTTTATGATGATAAAAGATTTATTTTGGAAAATGGTATTGATACATTAGCTTGGGGACAACAGCAGATAAATTTTTACCAAAAAATGAAGATTTTTTAAAATTCGGTTTAGAAACATATTTTGTACCAAAAACAGAATTATTCATTAATTTATCAAACATTTTCTCAACATTATTTTTTGTTTTCTTTCTTAAATTTGTATTTTTTCAATATTTACTCGCATCCAGTCAGACTGATAAAATTTAACAACTTTATGAATTTTTCCTAATTTTAAACCTTTTTGTTTGTAGTTTTTAACATACAACTCCAAGCAAATCCGTTTGTAGTATAATACGAAGCTGTACCTAATCCATATGTATTTAACGAAGTCTCTAAAATATTCCATAACATCAGCTAATAAAAGTACATCTATAGTATTGTATAACATATTGAATTCTTGAATATTTTTTATGTTAAAATATTTCCAAATTTCTTCAGCATAATGATATTCTCCATCGGTAATATTTTCATCGTTTAATGAATTATAAAAAGACTCTTTGGGAGGTAATTTGGCTCTTTATATTTATCTAATGAGGACATATAATCATATTAATTTTTTTGTTAATTATCTAAATAATTATCTTCTTTCTAATTCACTTAAATTATTAGGAACAGTTTTTTCAAACCATTTTTTTCAAACTTTAAAATTATATAAATTCATATGATTAGCTAACTCAGACAAAGAACTAGGTTGAAATCTATAAGAATCTAGAAACCGAAGTTCAATATTAGAATATTGAAAATATTTTATTTCCTTAGAAAATGAAATATAATTTTCCTCGCTTGTGGGAATAAGATCACCGGTATCCAATCCTAATTCTTTAACTAATAAATGTGAATCATAACCTGAAAAATTATGAAAGAAAACAGGAATAAATCTTGGAACTTGAAAAGTTAAATTACAATAATAATGGGCAGGCCCCCTATATAGATCTGTTGAAAGATCATGATCTCGAACCTTATATAAGTTCTGTTTTTTATAAATATCTATATCTATAATCTTGGTAAATTTCTTTTTTAAGTAACTTAATATATGGCTTGGTACGCTAGTTAATTTTTCTTCACAAATATGACAAATTGTTGCTTCTTTCTATAATTCGGTTAATTCATTCATTTTCTTAACGTTATCTAAATAATTTTTAGCTATATATATATATAGCATCTTCTCTTAATTTTTTATATAATACTTTTGGAACATTTTCACCAAAATATTCAACAATTTCTTTAAAAATTGCCATTGGAAATATATACAATAATATAAACAAAACATATTGCAATATGTTTCTGAATTTTAACTGTACTACAATATTTCTTTCTCTCACTCATCTGTTTTATAACACTTTCAAAATCTTCATAAATAACAAAAGGTACTTTCATTTTATGATTAACATTTTTGAATTCAACAATATTTTTAAACCGATTTGGCATTTTCAATCTTGCTGTCTTATTTGCCTTACTCTTATGATTTAACAATTTTTTTTCAGTTTGAAAACTATTTAAACACATTCTGCAAAGATGTCTCTTTTTACAATTTTTTTGTAATTTGACCCCTAACTAACCCAAATACATTTTTATTAAACAATACCTCCGTCTTCCAAAAATAATAAATCAATATGTACTTTTTTCTCATCTTTCGTTACAGATAGGGGATTTATAATATAATCTTCATCATGATGATAAACATTAATAGATAATCCACCTTCAATCAATCTTACTAACTTCCATCGGATACTCAATTTCTACAGACATATAATCAAACAAATTTTCATATATTCTTTAATATTTTGTTACTCTTTGCGGATTTGTCTCAACTGGATATAAATGAGCCAAAATTTACCATAAAAAACATTTATCATCATCTTCATTTTTTACATTTAAAATTACTTTTGCAGATACGAGTTACGGGGCGGAAACGAGAGTAGGTAACGCTAAATATATGCGTCGCGTCGTTTTTTGCCGTTTTTTTCTAAAATTCCAGTTTTAGCCCTTTTCGACACTTCTGCAATCCCAGTTGATGACTTATTCGCGTTCCCCTCTACATTTACTCGACCACCGTCGAGTAGGTGTTATTATATACAGGCATCGAAATGCATGCGTCGAAGGTTCCTTTTTTTTTCTCGAATATCGCGTTCTGAACTCAGTAGGTAGGTAGATAGGTAGCATGGCCGCCGTGACTGACCTGCTAGACACCAAAACATATACCAATTTTTTTGCACGAGACCTATTACTTAATTTTGCGTCAGAAGTCACACGTTGTCCGCTATCCGATGCTAGACCCTAGATCCTGCTAGACCCCAAAACATATTTTCGCGTAATTACGTCAAGGAAGGTGACTTGGTAGTCGGATTGCTTACGAAATGTTTTGAATTTTTTTTCACGTATTTCATTACCTAATTTTGCGTTATCGGTGACTGCAATGGACGCTGTCCCGGCCGCACATTGCCTACCCGGATAACATAGATGACTGACCTGCTAGACACCAAAAAATCAGACGGTGGCTATATGATTTGAATGGACAACCGAAATATTTTGAATTTTCTTCACGTAATTTATTCTTTAATTTTGCGTTTTCGGTAACAGTAATGAACGTCGTCCGCGATTCGACGCAGTCGGATTGCATACGTGATGACGTGACCCGGCCGTCGCACATTGTCCGCTATCCGTCCAAGTCGGATAGCCTACTCCTATTATTATAGCGAATGTCATTCGAGGTGACTGACCTGCTAGACACCCTAAAAAATACGGCGGCTATATGATTTGCATGGACGTCCGAAATTTTTTAAATACTTTTCAAGTAATTTATTACTTTTTTTGCTTTTTCGGTAACAGTAATGAACGTCGTCCGCGATTCGACGCAGTCGGATTGCATACGTGATGACGTGCCCCAACCGTCGAATATTGTCTTAAAGGGTGACTACGACCAAAGTCGAGGAACATGACTGACCCGCTAGACCCCAAATACTATTACTACGGCGAACGTCACTCTAGGTGACCGAACTGCTAGATACCCACAAAAATTACTATATTATTTTTTTATCAAATTTCGAATTTCCGGCGGCGTCGTCGAAAAGACTCTGTCAAAGACTCTGCCCTGGCTACTACAGGCTACCACGTCGAACCGCAATGGTCCTAGCCTTATCACACATCCTTATCACCAGACCTCCACATCACCCATACACCGCGTCGGCTGTGACCCACGACCACACCACGAGACCACCGCTGCTTCCGAAATCGACAACACTCGGGGTCCGCTGACGGGGGTCTGGGGGTGTCCCCCAGCGACGCTCGGAGAGCTAGTATTTATGTAAAACAAAAAATTGTTTCCGGGTGAATTTTACTGCTACCGCCACAGTGTGTGAGCCTTTAACTATTGTAGCCCGTATAGGTACAAAGTACAATGATTATCAAACCTTGGATTGAACGATATCGATTTTATTACATTTAACTTCTGGTCTTTACAAATGGAAAATACTACATAGTTATGCTGCAATAACGTATGAGCCATGGGGTGAAATGCATGAAACCCTGCTGGATGGGCCTATACGCTACACTATGTGCATAAAATGTCCTTACTATATTAATTTGAATTGTGTAATATTTATTACTCTGGGACATAAAAATCCTAATTGTTGCGGTACCTACAACTGACTAGGTATACACATTTACACACAAACACCTTCCAGAACAATTCAACTTTGAAGGACAATATTTCATCAACGGATTAACAAAAAATGAAAATTTAGACGTGATAATTCATAAAAAAAATAGCATTATTAATTTATGAAATTTTAAGTATAGGTTACCATTTGAAAATCAAAAGTTGATAGTAGTTTACCTAATTAATATAAGGGTGAAAAATATAAAACATTTATACAAATGTAGTAATACATAAAACTAAAATTAAAAAAAAAAAAAAATCTAAAAAAGTTAATACTTTTCGAGATAATGAGTGTTCAACGATAAAAGAATCACCCTGTATAAGCGGTAATGTTATAAATTATTATAATAT